CCCCAAAACCCCAAAACCCCAAAACCCCATTTCAGATTTGCTGTATTGAATTTCTCTACAGATATCTCTTTGCGCTAATATTTCCCTCCATCCATAAATCAATGTCAGTGATGATGTACTTATTCTGACTTCCTTCAATTTTCTAAACTGGGTTAGCAAATCTTTACTTTATTTCCTTTCTCAAATCTCAAATGATGAACTTGAAGATAGTCTGGATTTCTCACATCAACGATTCTGGGATCCTTGACAACATAATTCTCTTTCTGATCCTCAACTGAGCTTTGTGGTTTTAAATCATCCTGCTTGAGTATCTTCTCGATCTTGCCCTCATATCCCGCATCCTAGATGCCATAACTACTATTACCTACCTTAAGTAAGTATGATTCCTTTTGTGAATTCAAAATTTCAAGTCTTTTCTTACTGTAAAATATTACATCAAAGACTTCTATAACATGGTTGCCATCTTTCCGCTTCCTGAAGAACAAGTCTCTAATACGGTTGAAGAATTTATTTCTCCCTGAGACCTTCACTGCTTCTTCGAGGGATGACGAAAGTTGATTGACTGAGAAATCATGCACGTATTTTCCTTTGTAGTCAATATCTTCCTTGATCCTTTCTACAGCTTCCTTTGGAAGCTGTATATAGTTCTTATAATATTTTGTCATGAAAAACTTGCAGAATTTGTACCTAAACATAACACTTTTGCCTACGTGTCGATGAGCTGGAGTTCACCTTTCAGGAATTCATCCATCGATATATACTTCTCATAATTCATGCTTGCTCCTAAGGAATCAGGAAAGGAACTTACTGTTTTTCTGTAGAAGGTCATCCAGTGACTCATCTCCTTTATTTGAGACGTCAATTTTCTGGTTCTTCATCTTTTCATATTGCTGGTCAAAGAACTCCTTGCTTTTAAGAAGTTTGTGAGGCATACACTTTCGTAAAAGACTGTACTCTTTCCTAGCATTTTCAACGATAGACTTATGAATTGTAGAAGCAGCTGTTTTTAATTTCTTTGCTCTTTCACGCTCCTTTGACTCTATTGAGGACAGAAGGCTATCGTTCAGCACCTCCTTAGTGACTAGGATTGGTTCAGCCCCCATTTCAGCATTCTTGATTGCAACTTCAGGAGCTAATTTGTAAGAATATAAACTTACAGATCATATAATGCTGTTTTGCCTTGAGACGGAGGTTGAGTTCGACAAGGTCATTATCGGAATCATTTCTACGCCCAAATTTCCACTTGTTGTTTCCATCTCTAACAAGGGCATACTCCCCTATCTCTTCATCCTCTGATAGCTCTGGGATCGTGATCTGGGAGTAGTTGATGATCCTGACATCAACCTTTGCTTTTTCGTTAAGAATCTCAAAATCTCAGTTTTGGATTTTTATTTTCTCATAAATATCTGCTGCTAACTTCTTGAGTAAGTTTGCAGCCATGATCTGCTCCAAGCTATGGTACTGGGTTAGGTAAATCGAGCTAAGAAGGTCATTATACTTGTTCCTGAATTGATTATTATAACTATTTTTGAATATCAGGAATTTCAGTCTACTCCATAAAGACAATTTTCCTCCAGAAAGTATTTTGTAATGGTCATTGTATCCCAGATTCAGAGGAAAATCAATATTCCTCTTCCCTGGTTCTAAGGATTGACCTAGATGTGGGCTCTCCTTTTTATCAACAATTCCGAAAGCTCTTCTAGAGTTATGAAAGATATATTTTGGTCTATTAAAGGGCTGAATTATTTGTTTGCATCATTTCTGAGTCCCTTGTAGCCTTAGATTTCGCCTTAATATCATATTTTTATTACCACACAAAAATTATTTTATCCCAAAATCTTTAAAATTGGGGTTTTGGGGTTTTGGGGTTTTGGGGTTTTGGGG